TTTTTAATGCATATAATTACACAATATACAGAAAAGAAAGAAATTAATGTGGGTTTCTGAGTGCTTCCACTACAGTCATGGCACCCTATCTGAATGTCCAAAAACATTGTGTAACATGCACACTGAATGTTAAAAATACAATTATATATTGTTAACTAATCAAATGAACCTCAAATGGACTGCTATGAAACGTTTTGCCATCTTCCGCATTCTCTTGACCACTCTCTGACCAAGTGATTGTATAGGTTTTGTAAACCTTAAGGCATGATAGTTCACACGGCATCTTAACTTCTGAAGATCTTCATCAAGGTCACTTGCAAGTCTATAATCAAACTTTGTCAATTGTACAACCTGCAAAATTGATAAAATATTTAGGACCTTACAAGTGAAGTTGTTAGGAACATCAGTGGTAAAATAACACCTTTTGATAAAGTATACCAAAGAAAGAAAAAAAAGGGGAAAAAATGATGTAATCTGCAGGTGGTGTTTTATGTGCCTGTATAGTCTGCAAATGCTGTTTTATGTGGCTGTTTTTAAGTGGTTGTTATATATTTGGTATCATAATTGTGTGTGTTTCATAGAAGAAATTAGGAGAAAAAACAGAGGGCAGTGGGCTGACTCAGGAAGTAACTGCCAGAAGTGATTGCTCCGCATGTGCTGGATTTTATGTGTACTAAATAAGATATTTAAATGGATATTTATGTAATAGCATGATAGAGTAATAGGAGGAAAATATGAAGAATGTGCAGCAGTAACTGCACCAGAAATAACCACCAGAACAACTGCTCCTCATCCCTCTTTTATAAAATCACTCGTTGTCTCGGAAATGGATATGCAGAATTTTGTCAAAAAAGTTTCTTGAGTACTTTAACTTAGGAGATCATTGGGTTCTCTCTTAACGAACTCATAGTATTAACAAAATGTCATAACGAGATTCTAAGAAAGGACCATAATAGAAATCACAGCCTATGAACCAGAAAAGATTCAGCAAAAGTTACCCAAAAAAATCAGAATTCATCAATAAATTAGTAAAGATCTAATCTTCATGATCAACAACCTTTTGACTCAAAGATATATGATCTTAAAAAGTTTAAAATCAAAAGCAGCAATAGACAAAAAATATTCCTATTTGTTAGGTGGCTCACATTAATGAAAATGATAGAATCCTGTGGGGCAAATCAGTTCTTTTCCTATTACTTAATGTTACCTCTGAGCGCCAAGAGTCCAGAGAAGAAGACATGTGACTCAACTATCTCTTATATTAGGAAAAGATTGGCAGGGTGGCAAAGGATCTACTTAACCAAGATGGTAGCTCACATTGATTAAAATTACTCTTTCCAATCTGCTGCTTTATTTCGTATTGCTCTTCCCTATGCCTAAGTGTGTGCCAACATATTGGAAACACCTACAAAGATTCTTCTTATGGGCAGATGGAGAGGACGATAGGAGATTCCACAAGTAAACTGGAATTCTATCAAGCTTCCCACTTCTGCTGGGGGCCTGGGCAGTAAATCCCTATATTTATTTAACAAGGCCTACTGTGCCAACTGCCAAATGTTTATGGAGGTTTATCACACGAAATGGGAGTCTTGTAAAGGAAATTTATTGTCCTTGATATGGTCTCTTGGAAGGCAGGTGGATGACAAAGGACTCCAGGGTTGCTTCTGGCTAGTCTGTGAAAGAGTATCAGAAAGGAATGGGATTCTGTTGGTGGACTACATTTTGTGCTGGGTGGGCAATGGTTGTAGTGTGAGATTCCAAAATGATGCATGGTGTGGAAACCAGTCTCTAAAGTATCAGTTTCCTACTATTTTCTGTCTTGCCAGGAAGAAAGATTCCAAAATTGTGATTCTTTTCTATTAGGATCAAGAAAAATTGGGATTCTTTTTTTGCTTTCTTGGTGAGGGAGATTGTGGCACATTCCTCTCACCCATGATCTCAACTGGGAAAGGGAGATTGCGACACATTCCTCTCACACATGAGCCCAATGAATGGGAAATAGCACTCATTTGTCTTTGTTCTTCATTGGAAAATGTTCTGCAGAGCAGAATAACCAATGATGATCTGACCTAGAAGCTCTGCAAGAATGGAATATTCTCTGCAACTTGTTCTTATTCAGCCTTGAACAATTAGGATCTTATCCTTGACAGGTTCGCATGGAAACAAGTTTGGAAATGCAAAGCATTACCTGTTAAGGTCCCTGCTAATGGATTTTGCTATGGGATGATGAACTTAGAATTCAGTAGGAACCTCTGAATATTTATTAGTTTTCCTTCCTTTACCTACCTTTGATCTAATTTATGGGCTTGCTAAGAGTTCAACAACTTCCTAAGGAAATACTCAAACCTTGATAATCATTCTTTATTCATAATCTTGTTCGGAAGACAGCAATATTTTATTACAATGGAAGAGAGGTAGTTATCCTAGAAGTTATCTGCATTATCCAAAATTTATTAACTAACTTCTTGGTTTTTTTTTTGAAATTATAAGACCTATATTAAGTATAGGCACCAAGAAAGTGCAAACCCATGTACAAAATCATTTTACAAATCAGTATACATATCAAATAGTTTTCGTAAATTCTCCATGGAGTACAACGAATGACCCATAACAAAAAACTAGGATTTAGAACCATCTCTCTCGAATCTCATCAATACCCTCTTCCACTCCCTAAAAACTCTCTTATTCTTTTTTTCCATATTACCCAAAAGATTGCAAGGCCCCAACTGTTTTTTCCGCTCAATCGATCCCTTTTTTGCCCATAATTCATCCATTACAGTGTCCGCCATAACTCACTTGAAACCAAGAATCCCATATGTCATAGACAATAAGCTATACGCAATGGGACTCCAAAAGTAGAATATGGTTGCAGGTCTCCTTTGACCTCTTACATAAACAGCACCAATTTACCATTATCTTCCCTCTCCTTTTCAGCTTATCGATGGTCAAAATACACCGGTGGCTTACTTCCCAAGAGAAGAAAGCTGCCCTGGGAGGGGCCTTCACCTTCCATATTTGTCTATATGGAAAACTGCTCTCAATGGGCTCTTTCTTAGCCAAGTATCTGTAGAATGACCCAACAGTAAATTTCCCAATAGTGTTAAGTATCCAAACTGGTTGGTCATACTCCTCGTTCAGCGGAACCGACTCCAAAGTTCTCAAAGGTACTTCATATTCATTGATTTCCCAATATTTGAGGTTCCACAAGACCTCCACATCACATTCCCTATGCCCTTCGCCATCTCCAAATGCCTCTTTAACAGAAATGTCCTTATATCGAGCAATAG